TCACTTGTGTTCTCTTTCTCTGTTATTGTTCTCGTTCATCAAAATTTAACGAGACTCCTCCTTCTCGGCCCATGATAAAACACCAAACAAAAATCCTGGGTTAACTGTAGCTCGTGTTGAACCAAACAGAGTAGTTCAAGGCCTCACCTCCACTACCAGAGCCTCACCTGACAACGGGCCTCACGCAGTAAACACACCGGTCAGGATTCCAGTGTGTAGGGGCCTGAGGGAGCAGCGTGCCCACCCGACCGTAGAGTCCTGAAGGAAGGAGGAGGAGGAGGCAGAAGTACAAGTCCACTGACCTCTCCGTACCGTACCATAAAAGATATGCGAATCTTTTGTTAGATTTTTTTCCTTGTGTATCTATGACGCTCTAGATGTTAGGTTTCCTCGTCTAACACTCTTTAGCATCATCTAACACTCTTTAACACCATTTAACACTCTTTAGCATCATCTAACACTCTTTAACACCATCTAACACTCTTTAACATTATCTAACACTCTTTAACACCATCTAATACTCTTTAACACCATTTAACACTCTTTAACACCATCTAACACTCTTTAACACCTCCCGCGACCCTCAGCTTGGCCTATCCTCCTCCTCTCTCTTCAACTCCCAACATCCAGCTTTTTTCCTACCATGCTGTACGTCACCTTAACCAACCTCCCTTGTTCATCCTATACTACATATTATTACCGCCTTATAATACCTGACACACTCCTATCACCTGCACGAGTATTAGCACTGTGCAGTCTTCTTGTCAAGGCCGTTCTCCACACCTGCCTGTTACACCTTTACCAGTTATTATTATTATTATTATTATTTTATGAACAACTTTGACACACCTGCACATAGACAGATATATTGAAGGAAAAATAGTGCAGTACACCAGAGAGAGAGAGAGAGAGAGAGAGAGAGAGAGAGAGAGAGAGAGAGAGAGAGAGATGTACCGTGTTCTAATCTTATTCAGGTGATAAATGAGTGACCCCCAGCGACAGGTAACGACGCGATGTGTGTGTGTGTGTGTGTGTGTGTGTGTGTGTGTGTGTGTGTGTGTGTTTATCTTTGATGATCTCACCCAACTCAGACTATCTCCTCCTTCCTTCCTGGCATTGTCATAATGCAGGTAGTTTCACACACACACACACACACACACACACACACACACACACACACACACACACACACACACACACACACACACACACACTACACCACGTGAACACCACACCACCCGGTGTCTCCATGACCAGCCCAGGCTCGGGCCATCAACTGTAAGCTAATAATCTGTATGTTCAATTCATGTTCCTTCTTCTTTCAGTAATGAAAGCTTTTGTTACACGACCCACCCACTCCATGTCTTTGTATGTAATAAGTCATTTTTGTCCAATGTATATTTTCAGCCTTCGGGCTGCCGACTTTTTCAATAAACCGTTGATTATTATTATTATTATTTATTACACACGCACAGCTAAACGCCCCAAGCAAAGTTCAAGAAGCTAAATGAAAAAGACTTTACAAAGCCTTACAATAAAGAGGCTCAGAGGGTAACAGTCGTAGGTTACATGAGGAAACAAAGTTCAATATATACTGTGTGTACAATACGTCTTCCGTCCTTAAGTGTTTATGTTGGTTAGCGTTTCTTCATCCTACCTGATGAATGGTTGGGCATGTCACTACTGGTGTGTTAGAAGACATGTTTACTCTGTGTGTGAGAGAGAGAGAGAGAGAGAGAGAGAGAGAGAGAGAGAGAGAGAGAGAGAGAGAGAGAGAGAGAGAGAGAGAGCCAACATCATACACCAGCATGATTGATGACTCCAACTACAGGTGTCATCCCCCCTCTCCACACACATCATCACGCGTCACAGTAACTATCAGGAGGACAGAAGACGCCTCATCTAAACTAATAATCTTTATTAATGGCCAATTTGAGGGTCTTTTATGTGTGGTGGAGTAACTATCTGTCTGTCTGCCTTACGGTTTGCCTGTCTGTTTATCTGGTTGTGGTTTTGGGTTAAGGTAACCTAACCTAACCTAACCCCCTCAAACAGCGTCAAGGTGTTTAATCATCAGGTGAAATAAACCTGAGAGCGCAGTACAAGGCAGCCAAGTCGTCTTACTCAGGTGGTCGGGGTCTCACCAATATGTATTACCAACAATCATTAGATCTTTGCGTCACCTGTGTAGCCTCGTTCACACAACCAGGTACTCGGTTGTGACGGTTGGTGGACAGGGTTAGATATACGGACGTCAAGTAATGTAAGATAACACGAGAGATGTGAAGAAAGTCAGTGATGTGGAGAGGGAAGACGTCGATGGGTGTGGCTGATGGTAAGTGTCATGAGAATGTGACCAATAAGACAGAAGGGTGTGGTATAGGGTGTGGCAGGTTTGAGAAGTTATACAAATGTTGAAGGAAAAGATGTGTTAAGAGTTAATTCAATAAGATTCCAATAAATGAAGATAAATGATAAAAGCATTAAATGATGGAGGCGTGTCTGTTGTGGTGAGCGAAATATTGTGTTTTGGTCTTGTTATCACAGCGTGGAGTGAGATAAGTGATCAATGGCAATCAATTTTCCCTTAATGATTCGCTCTATCGGATTCACAATGTCTCGGGAAATTGAACCTTGACAGCGAGGAGTCCAGGCATGAAGACCATCAGCTGGTAAAGATTTAAGTCACACTTGAAGACGTTTAAAGTCACTTACGACGCATATTTTCACAAGACTTCGACCAAACGGGAAAATCTTGAATGGGGACCACCAGTCGCTCCCACAATAAGTGTTCCGTTATTATTATTGTCATGGTAGAGCCTGAGTAACTGTTTACCTTCTCACAGGCCCCAGCGATGAGCTCCCCTTCTCCTCCCTCACCACGGGGCAGTCCTTGGGTCTTGCGCCTTCCCCTGTGTTCCTCTTCCTCACCTCTCCTCCCCCACCTCCCTCACCACGGGGCAGCAAAGGACCCTACAGTACCCTAAATATATTCTACCTGTGCAAAAAAGATACCTACAGTATATAAATTGAATATATATAAGATGTATATTTAAACTACAGTATTTATCCACTCCTCCTTAAAGGCCGGGCGGCAGAACATTGCAATCAACGTGTGTGTGTGTGTGTGTGTGTGTGTGTGTGTGTGTGTGTGTGTGTGTGTGTGTCGGTAGTCATAACCATATAAAATAAAACTCGCACACTAGTTAGTTACCAACGGAATTTCACGCCACTTGTCACGAATAATGTAGACGCTTCTGTGGTGAGCAATGGCCGCGATGGTTTTGCTCCGTTTACTTGTGGAAGACTTGTGGCTCTTTGTCTGAGTCACAGCTGAAGGGCGTCTTCAGGTGAGCAAATTTTTACCTATTAAGTAACAGACAATCGTTAGTTATTTACTTGTGCAGGTATGATTACCCACCTGGTGATAGTACTAGTACAAGCTTCTTGATATTATTAATTATTATTATTATTAGTATTACTTATTAGTAATAGTGCTGTTGTTATTATTTATTACATTCCGTTATTAGTATTGATTTATAATTATAATCCCTCATCATTATTCGAGGAGGTACACAGCAGAGGTCAACACAGGTCAGCCGTTCTACAGTGACAAGTGTTCACAGCTTCACGGTGTGTGTGTGTGTGTGTGTGTGTGTGTGTGTGTGTGTGTGTGTGTTATTACTATATTTACATGATAATACTTCCACTGACTAATTGTTGTTTACATAATCAACATGGAGGTTGTTTGGTCATCGTTACAATCATCGGTTTTCACTCTGATTCTTGTTGTATAATAAATACGTTTAAACTAATAGTAAAAACAACAACAACAACAACAACAACAACAACAACAACAATAACAATAATAACAGTAATAATAACAATAATAATAACAGTAATAATAACAGTAATAATAACATCCCCAAACATCCCAAGCCTTTAAGTCACAAGCAAACTAAATATCCCTTTGGTAAACACGACTTAACTCTATACAAACAACAAACACGACAAAACACTAATAATAAAACACAGAGGAGAGGAAAAATACATCTGTTTGGAAATAAAAAAAATTTAAATTGCCTATTAGCCTTCGTTGTGTTTCATCAGTTGAGTTCACCATCACCACTAACCACGTCTTGGTGATCAGGAACTGGTGATCACGTCTCAATGAACATGAACTGGTGAACATTGAATAACTCAGTCATCTCTTGTATGTTCTCCAGCCCTGATCCAATAACGTACAGGAACTTGTTATTCACCTGTACTGAGGAGAATTACTGTTATTCACCTGTGTAGAGACTAATTACCATTATTCACCTGTACTGAGGCCACTTACTCACCTGACTCGCACCAAAAGAATACAGCAACAATAATAATAACAGCAGATGTGAAGGTTACGTTCGTGCTGTATTTACATTAAGTACTGACCCGTAATGGAGGTAGAGTGTGTGTGTTGAGGGGCCGGATTGTGTTGTTGTAACCATACTACAGACAGACAGACAGACAGACACAGACTCCCCCAGTTCCTCCCCTCTCAAGCACCTGACCTCGGACACATCCCCCAACCACCTGACCTCGAACACATCCCCCAACCACCTGACCTCGAACACCTCCCCCAACCACCTGACCTCGAACACCTCCCCCAACCACCTGACCTCGAACAAAAACAAAATCACTTAAATCATGTCTCGTGAACCTACAAAAAACCCATCCCATTTATTTCGATTCGATAACAAAACTATCCCATCTACACCTCTCACGGCTCTGAATCGGTTTATCACTCCTGGCCAAGATTTCAACACCAAGTGAGACTTAAATCAGTGCGACAGTAAACTTGGTTAGGCTTAAGGCGAAACAGTGGCAACAATATAACGATAAAAATAATAAAGTGTGTGTGTGTGTGTGTGTGTGTGTGTGTGTGTGTGTTGGTTCTTCAGGTGACTCAAAACATTCCTATTACATTCATTCCATTAACAATTATTTTCTTCCTATTCCAGGTTGTCTCGTGAGCAGTAACACCTGATCCTGACTACAGGTGAGTCACTGTCACCTAAGTACATCCCACAGGTGACCCAACACCTCCCTCCTTATCAAAACAATTCTAATTACCTGTATCGCCTCGTGAACTAACCACCATCAACCACCACTAACCAACTAACCACCAACAACCACCACTAACCAACTAACCACCAACTAACTACCAACAACCACCACTAACCATCTTAAGAACGGGTCAACCAGCTCCTTGGCGTGTAACGGGAACAATTATAACGTGGTACATTTTTTTTTCTTCAGTCAGTATCGGTTGACGTAAGATGTTTTAAGACACTAATGAACGATACTCAATGAGGGTAAATGGAGCGAGGAACACGGTGAGAATACAACACACTGCTATTGGTTGGCCCATAGCGGTTGTGGGAAGGTTGTTAAAGTCCCTCAACTCACGATGGCTGCTAAATTACGGTACCACTGAGTGTCTTAAAACAGGCGAGGCACCCCAATCACCACAGGCAGTATGTTGTTGTTGTTAATGAAGAGTTGGTTTTCGCTTAATATAATGAAAGGTTTAATCTATGGTATTTATGGAATTACCTTTTGATTGATCCCACAGATTATATCACCTGATAATTAACTACCCTAGCTTAACCTAACCTGAGCTAGATTAACATTAACTAACCACTCGACTCCAGGAAACGTTAGGGTGGTTAGTCTTCATGTGAGAGTCAGGGGAGGAACGGGGAGGGTAGGGGAGGAGAGTTAAGAGTAAATGGGAAATAACGTGACGGTGGTGATTGCGGTGTCTCTCCGCCTACCACTTGTCACGACCCACCTAGCACGACCCTCTGTCACTGTCATGTGTCACCTGTCAAGATCTTATGTCACCCCAGTACCATATATAGCCTAACCTAACCTAGCCAAGCCGAGCCTAACCTAACCTAACCTAAAGTCACACAGAAGAGTCTACCTGAACTTTTCTTGGAACATCTCATCAATAGAGTCAAACTTAACAAAGATCTTCTCCTCTCCCTCCCTCTTCTTCCCTCCCTCTTTTCCTCTCCTTCCCTCCTCCTTCTCTCCCTCTACTTCTCTCCTCCTTCAGTCTTACAGAGGTTAAAACGAAGAGGCGGGTTCTGTGTCCGGTCAAATGAAAGCTTCGTGTGGTGGCCTGAAGCGAGCGCGCGCGCACACACACACACGCACAAAACACTGCATTAAAAAATATAAGAGATAATCACAGGTTATCTATCAACTGTGTGAAGGAAAAAGCCAAAATAAATTATCATAACTTGAGGTCATCACTAAACAAAAGAATAAAATAATGAGAATTTTTACACAGTTCATCTTGGTGGAATGAGGAGAAAAACCTCTGTGTTTCTCCCAGGTGTAGGATTATGAGAGAGAGAGAGAGAGAGAGAGAGAGAGAGAGAGAGAGAGAGAGGTGGGGGGGATTGTCTGTCTCGGCTTGGTAAGGTTGTCTGTCCCCGGGGGTGAGGTCACCAGCCGGCAGCGTGAGAGCTCCCCCTGGGCCCTCTGAGTCAGCACCAACACTTACCTAACCGACAGATGACAAACACTAACTATAAACAACAAGATAAATATAGAACAACAACACTGGATAATAGAGTAATTGACTTTTCCTCCTGCTTCCTAATACATCAGACATAACCCTGCTTTATTGCCATCTCTGAGAACAATAGCTGCAACATCTGCATTATTCACGCATTAGACGGAACTTCTCCAACATCCTGCTGCAGCCATGTACATTAGCCACACCTGCATTAATACCATTTAGAGATGAACAAGACGCAACCACAGCATTATTCCCCTATGTTCAACCTCATTCAACAGGGGTTATGCATGTTGCAACTCACGGTGACTGGATTAAGGAGGGTGTATATTAAATTACATCTGCACCTTGCCAAGACGTTGCTTGTGTTGCAAACTGTAAGAGTCTTCAACATTCTTGCTTTATTCTTTCCTCTCCGGCCGGGTATAAGAGAACGTATCTAGTGGTAGAGTCATATCACCATTTCAACCACATATTGAAAATCACTCTTGTCTCGTAAGTTGTTCAGTAAAGGTAAAATTGTAATGTAGTTAAGTAGCTTTTAATAATATCGGCATGAGTGTAGTTGTGAAGGGTAATAACTGCGCTGTTAACTACTAAAGTCGATTTTTGTTTACACCATAAGTTTTTGCTCTCGTGGAAATACTCCTTTAGTTAGCATTAATTTAAATACTTTCTGCTTATGACTAATTACAGTAATATGCAGTAACATAAACGATCCTCCGCATCTGCCAACCTTCCCTCCCTACCACTGCATTACACACACACACACACACACACACACACACACACACACACACCCTTGCAACCATTACTTCCTCTCCCTACCACTGCAACATCACAACCAAGGGTGACTGTATCAACATGCTTGCAACAGTTCAGGAAGTGATGGGTTATTCCCCCCTTCTTGCTCCCCATTGTTTCACCGTCCTCGTGTTAATGTTCCTCGTCTTCAGTCTGTTTGTTTCTGTGTGTGTGTTGAGGCGTACCAATACACATCACTTCTGACTTAACTGGTGTATGTTGTTCGTGTGTGAGGGATGTGACTCTCTCTCTCTCTCTCTCTCTCTCTCTCTCTCTCTCTCTCTTCGCTTTCATCTCGTAATTCGCTTCGCTCTCATCTTTACTCTCGTTTTGGAGGCGGTCATACGGTTGATTGGGAGAGAGGAAGGTGCTGAGCATGGTTAATTGAGTGGTGCAGTTGGATATGTGGGTGGTGAGGAGGGTTGGTCATGTGGGTGGTGGACGGCGAGAATGTGGGTGGGTGGACGGCGAGAGTGTGGGTGGGTTAGGTTGGACTGCCGGTGACAGGGGAGTCTGCCACAACCCACCTACTCTAGCCACCCACTCCACCTACTCCTGCCCACTCCACTACCCACCCACTCCACCTACTCCTGCCCACTCCACTACCCACCCACTCCACCTACTCCTGCCCACTCCACTACCCACCCACTCCACCTACTCCTGCCCACTCCACTACCCACCCACTCCACAACTACCCCAACCCACTCCACAACTACCCACTCCTCTCTCCACTCCCTACAGCACTAGTCACACTCACAGACCAACTCTCAAGGAGGATCTATATAGTACTCACATAATAATAAGCTGTTAATGAGGGAGATAATAAAATATTTTGTAACATAACAGATGAGTCAGAGAAGTTTTCCCTCCCTCCTCTTCCCTCTCTTCTTCCCTCCCTCCTCTTCCCTCTCTCCTTCCCTCCCTCCCTCCTTCTCTCCCTCTCATTCCTCCTTCGCAGGTCAGGTGGGCATTGAACCAGCCAGCCAGCGTGGGAGGAGGTGGTCTGGGAGGTGGGAGAGGGGGTGGGTAAGGGGTCTAAAGTGGAGGTAGATCGGGAGGGGAAGGGGATGAGTGAGTGGACGAACGAAACCGGAGGGAGAGAGAGAGGGAGGAGGAGGAGGAGAGGAAGATGACTAACAGACTTACAGGTAGACCCTCACCTGTAGCATCACCTGCAGGAGTCTCCGTCACGTCCGGTCGCTCGTAAACTCCGCTGTGGTGATACTTGTCGCACAGTTACTACATACCTTACGTCAGGGGCCTGGGAGGGGAAGGGAGGGGTGGTAGTGATGGAGGAAGGAATGGGTGGGAAAGTTAGTCTTGGAGGAATGTGAGGGAGGGATGATGGTGGTGATGATAGATTAGGATATTTAAATTAAAGTAAACGATAAAGGTACAGTAAAGGTGAACAAAGAGTAAATACAACACGTCAGTTGCTGCCCCATCCTTACACACACACACACACACACACACACACACACACACACACACACACACACACACACACACAAACACGTACAATAAACAAACACAGAAACACTCATTTTTATAAAATAGCAACAAAACGTTACGACCTTAATAGATAACCACGAACAGTTTGTGTCTCAGGTTCTTCTCGACGGTTAGGAGGGAAGTGACTTGACTAACACCAATGACAGATCTCCATCCTAAGGAGCTACCTGGGGTCCTCTGAGCACCTGGGGTCCTCTGAGCACCTGGGGTCCTCTGAGCACCTGGGGTCCTCTGAGCACCTGGGGTCCTCTGAGCACCCTGGGGTCCTCTGAGCACCTGGGGTCCTCTGAATGCACCGGGGTCCTCTGGGCACCTGGGGTCCTCTGAGCAGGGGTTCTTGAGCACCTGGGGTCCTCTGAGCACCTGGGGTCCTTCTGAGCACCTGGGGTCCTCTGAGCACCTGGGGTCTTCTGAGCACCTGGGGTTCCCTCTCACCTAGGGTTAGCTTAGGTTGGGTATCTCAGCAAGAACCTGTACCAGTGGCATGAGGTCAAAAGGAAGAGAACAGGGAGGAGGAGGCAAGAGCGATAACGAGGGAGTAAGAAGGCGGATGGAAAGGAAGAAAGAAAGAAAAGATTATGGTGAAGAAATGTAAGAGGATAAGGAAAGAAATGATAAGTTGGATAATAATGAGAAGAAGACAAACACAGAGAGTGATGAGAAGGAAATGAGGATAGAATTTCAGAGGAGGAGGAGAGGTTAGGAAGGGAGAGCTAGAACCCCCCCACACACACAATGACCTCCTACACAGGTTTCGGCTCCATAACAAGACAGGTAAGAGAAGTAGCAGGTTAGACGGTGGCGGGTTACCTGATGTTGTGGACGTGTGGGTGAGTCCCCTCATAAACTGACCTTGTCCCCAAACTTTCAACAACACACACACACACACACACACACACACACACACACACACACTTTTAAGACCCTCTGGACAGGAAGGAGCCTTGCCACTCTTGCTTTACCTGACGGAGGAGACCTTTTCTACTCTCTCTTTAAACATACACTATCAACACCAGTTACTATTGAGAGAGAGAGAGAGAGAGAGAGAGAGAGAGAGATCACAATTCAACTCCATCATTAACAAAGATCACTAAGAATGAGTCACTGGCTACATTAAGCCTCACTTGAAAAACAATCTAAGAAAATATCCT